GGTAAGAAGTGAGGCAGAAAATGGCCTCTTGTACCTCGGAAAAAAAATTCAATCTGGGAGGGGAAGACCCTCAGGGTTTCTTGCCAAAACAGAAACAACTGCTATTTACATTCACTCTGAGTCAATTAGGGCCCAAAAAATGACTAAGGGGAGCTTGGCCTGGAATCTATTGTTGCCCAATCAATGAGAGCCAGAGTGATTTGGGTTTAAGGCCTGGTCCTTAAGAAAAAAATCTAGCCCATAAATCCTGAGATATCCTGTGAAGTTTCAGTGGTCAAAGTTTACATTACTTTGGGCAGAGCACCTGCAGGTAAGGGCATAATATCCTATGTGGACAGAAGGAAGGGAAGGGAAAGAAAGAAAGGGAAGGAGGGAGGGAGAAAAGAATATAGGAAGGAAGGAAAGAAGGAAGGAAGGAAGGAGCGAGCTGTGTTGCCCAACTGGCCAGCTCCATTTGGGTCTCCAGAGGGGCAGCTCCTACCACTACTCAAAGAGATTGTTGTTTGTCTTTCCTTCTTGAAAAGGACCATGAAACAGGCACTGAGTGATGTGACATGTGACAAAGAGAGAATAGGGACCTCTTGGAGAATGGTCTCATTTTTTCCCCTAGTAAAACATGAGGCAAGGTTCTCAGCTGAGAGGGGGAGAGGAGGAAGAACCATGAGAAGTCTGAGGAGGGATGAATAAGTTCAGAAACACTGTTGTGGTGAGTGGGATAATGAATTGACTAAGGAGGTACAGAAGGATTGGCTTGCCATAATCAGGGCCCAGCTGAGATTATGTGACATAAATTTGTAGTGGACCCAGTCAATATGGTTTCATGATTTTCTTTAGCTTTGTTCAGCAGCATATGAGTAGGAGTGAAGGCACATGGTGGTAGTAATCCAAGGCTAGGGTTTGGCAGGACAAGGTCTTCAATAGGGTGAAGAGAGAAGGGACTTGAGAGAAGAGGGCAGTGTAAAGTTAAACATATTCTCTAAAGGGTCAAGATGGGGAAAGTTAGAGAGTGCAGTCAGAGCCTGAGAAGAAACATAAAAATAATGAGTTGCAATTGAAACTCAAGTCCTCCAACTTCCAATCCAGCCCTTTCTCCACTGCACTTCACTGATATCTGTGATTGTTTCCAAATATTTTGTGTCAGGTATCTTGAGATCTATCCTTTGAAGATGTCCAAAATTGTATTTCCTCTGTCTCCCTTAGGTCGAACCACCTGTTCTGTCTGTTTTCTTTAGTGCCATTTTTATATTCTCATATATCATATTGGGAACTATAAAATGAGAATCCAACCTTAGTAGCTCTGTTATCATCAGGGATTTCAAAGGGAGCTACCAGTACTGGTAGAGTCGGTACCTTCTCTTCAACTTAGAGTTATCACTGTTGAGAGCTACCTGGAGCACCAAGAAACTAAGTGACTTGCTCAGGGTATGCTCAGCCTGTGTATCAGAAACAGGACTGGAACTGAGGCCTTCCTGGTGCCAAGGATAGTTCTCTTTTCACCGTATGGTGCTGCCTCTCATACAATTATAGGTAGTGTAAAGGACTTATGGTTCTTGTATTAATTGATATGATATGTGTAATGAATATACTAATAATTTAGATTTCTCAGAGCTCCCATTTTCCCAGCAGATTCTGGCTTGGGAGTCAGAGACTCACACTGCAAGGTAGGGTGATCTGTCAAGAAGTTTTAACATGCTCACAATTTCTACATTCTTATGCTTGTGTAAAACTTGTTCCCATCACAGAACTCTGGTTCTGAACCACACCAAGTAATCACAGCCTCCAAGTGTTGAGACAGTCAACTTAAGAACTGTTCCCACAGGCCTGGAGAACAGCTGTATTGTCATGCACTCATGGATTTGCTGTGGGAAACCACTTAAGACCTAGAAATGGTTCTTCCCCGCTCCCCTCCCAACTTGTGATTTATGTATAAAAACTTTGTCTTCATTCCAGCATGATAAGCTCTCCTTCTCAGGAAGAATGCAAACTGCATTCTTCACTCTGAAATTAATTAATTAAACCGCTACTTGATTCCTGACACACCCATCTCTGGCTTACTCAGTTTTGTCTCTGGCCATTCCCAGGTTAGAGACTGGTCCAGTCATTTAAAATTCTGTTAACAGTAGAAAAAATAGTCTTGTTATAATTAACTTGACTATCTTCTTTGATTTTTCATGTTTTGTTTTTCTACTACCAATTTCGCCCTTAAATGCCCTTGGGATTATCTCTTTTGGCTGGGTCTCTCACAAAGCTCTTTGTAAATGTATTTTTGGCCCTGTTACTTATCAGTTTTATGAGATGATGATGCTCGTAAACTTTCTCCATTCTCCACTGGAAGACTATACAAACAAGTTTACATTCTAGTTGGGTGTTGCCTTACTTGGCTGCCTTATATCTCTCTACTTGGCAAGGAGATCAAATGTTTGCTGGCTAAGTGGTTGATTTCTTTTCTTTTTGGCTTACTTGTGGCAAATGATTTGCATCAGTTAAGCTTCCTTAGGAAATGATGGTTTTCTGTATCAAAGTGATTTTTTAAAAAAATCTCTTTCCCATTTTTGGGGTTGTAAATGGTTTTTGATTAAATTGATTAGGATGCAGTTATTTTAGTAATGTAGTATCTTATTTTTATTCTTCTAATTTGATACAGATTTTTACTTTTGTTGTAAGTAGATGATCTACTCGCATATGAACAACTGGTTAAAAATGGGACCCAGACATTTCCTGTCTATTAAGATATCATCAACTCAATTTTTTTTATAATATAATTTGGTGCTTATTATCCATTAGGTTGTAAACTTCTTGAGGGCAGAGACTATCTTGTGCCTCTTTTTGTATCCCTAGCACTTAGCGCAATGCTTAACAAATAGTAGGTGCTTAATAAATGTTTGATAATTGACCATATCCATTGCCTTCTGATTTTTTTCTTGAAGAAAGCATACATGATATATAGGCATGAAGCTGCTGTTTTTCTTTCTTACTCCTGAGCCCCATTTTCTAATGTATTTTTCAATATTCTCTATACTCATCTTTATATTGATCTCACTGGATTTTAAAGGAATGTTGATTTTAAGAAGATTCAGGAAAACGTACATGCAGTGTAAATTGAAAGAACAAAAAGCCAAAACTGAACACTGTGGGATTACATATCCCTAAAGGAGAGAGGGGAAGATGTAATTTCTTCTCCCCCCCCCTACCTTTTTTTTTTTTTTTTTTTTTTGCAGAGGTGGAATATTATGGGCATAGAACATTACATATACTGTCAGACTTGGGTAATGTGTTTGCTGGTTTTGCTGAACTCCTTTTTCTTCCTCCTTTCTTTATTATCCTTTGGGGATGGCTCACTGGGTACAGATCCTACAGAGAAAGATATTCAGAAATAAAGGTTACTGAAAAAAACAAAGCATGCCAATATAATTTTCTAAGTATATGTTGATTGAATTTGGAATGTCTTATCAAGTCCCTGATCTAGAACGTCACTATCTCCTCCTCATCCTTTGAAACAATTATCTTCATGGTGGTATTTTTATAAATGCTCTTAACAAATATTTTTATTCGAAGTGACCAAATGTCTTAGATTTTTCCTGTTGCCTTTGAATGAATGACAAAACCAAGGTGGCCAACTCTATTACCTTGGGCAAAGCACTCAACCTGTCTGGGTCTCAGTTTCCTCACCTATAAAATGAGTGGCCTCTGAGGTCCCTGTCAACCATCTCCTCATTTAACTACAACTTCCTTTTTTGTCTTCTGCTTTCATCTACAATAAGATGATACATATTGACATGATTTAGTTCATCTAGTAGGAGTGTATCTACTTGGTCCCTGAACAAGTGTCTTATTAAGTTAATGTTTATAGGTGACATAAAAAATGTATGATGCTTCATACTTCCTGTTTCTTTCTCTACAACTCTGCTATGCACTGCAGAAGAGAAAGAGGGCTGCGTAGGACCAAGGGCCATTTTCTATTTTATTTTGTTCCTTGACTTGCCAAGGCTGGAGAACACATTGCCTAGAGGCCAGCCTGTTTATGATGAACCACTCTGTACTCAGCCAGGCTGGTCCTTGGATTACAGACTCTGTCTATTTGCCAGGACTGTATTCACAGACTTGCCAGAGCTTGGATTCCAATGGCATAGCATGGCTTTTGAAAATCTGGGGTGACCACCTCACCACGATGAGACATGTTAATGGAGACTTCCATGCACGCGCATTTTGTAGAAATTGTAGACCTTGAAGCACTATAGAAATGTGAGTTGTTGTTATTATTTACTTATCCGTGTACAAGTAGTATCTCACAGTGGAATGTAAGCTTGCTGAGGGCAGCAACTGCTTCATATTCATCTTTGTGTCCCCAGCACACTATAAGCATTTAATAAATATTTGCTGAATTGACTATACAAAATGAAGTTAACAATAACAACAATACTTGCCTGGCCCATCTCAGGGTTGTTGTGGGGAAGGGGCATAGTGCGTTGCAGAGTGCAAAGATTATCATGTACTTTGTGCCCTTAAAGAGCCACATGGCTAACATGTTTTTATTGTCATTTTCCCTATACATAGCCCAACAACCCTGAGTGAATTATTCACTGAGAGAAGGTGGTAACAGGTTACTCTTACAAGAGTTCGGCATTCTGAACAAATCTCAGGAGGTCAGCCCTTGCTGTTCTCAATCTTAAATCCTTGATGTAGGAAAAGTGCAGAATGTAGATTTGCCCCAAAGCCTCTGGAGAGATTTCTCACTGAACTCTGGAGAAGTCTGACTCCCCCCTGTCATTCCTTTATTCTTATGGCATGATACAATGAAAGGGCACTGGGCTGGGAGACAGGAGACCTGACTGTAGTCTGGTCTCTGACACTCCACAGCCGTGTGACTCCATAGCTGTGCGACTGCATTTCTTTAGCCTCAGCTCCCTCATAGTGAAACACGGACAACTAGCTGAGCTTAAACTCTAAGTGCTAGGGGCTGGATCTGCCGCAAGGGGGTATGTGCTTTCCAGAAACGATTGTGCCTTATCCTTTCCTCAGCTGTAGAGAAGATGAAAGACTCATTACGATCAGGTTTGTCTTTCCCAGTCTTTCAGTTTGTAAGAGTGGCATCTGTACTGGACTTCATAGTCTAACGATTTTACCATTGCCAAAAAAAAAAACCAAAAACCAAACCAAAACAAAACAAACAAAAAAAACCATGAAGGGGGAGGTGGTTGAGATAGCAGGATTGGGTCTGATCTCTTATATATCCATCAAACAATGGTGTAATGAGATGAATATTGAATCTAGGGCTAGAAGACCTGGATTTGAATTAGCTGTGTGACTCTGGGAAAAACCACGTGACTTTTCTGGGCCCCAATTTCTCTATCAATAAAATGAAGGTGTTGGATTAGATGATTTCTGTCACTTTTAACTGTATGAAGCAATTCGTGTGCCAGGTTTAAGAAACATGGCTCAAATATAACTTCACGCTGCATAGATATTAATGGTTGATTTAATAGTTAGTTAGGGAGAGTGAAGATAGGACCCTAACCATTGAAGACAGTGCCATCTGGCTAAAAAATGTCATATTAGCCCATCCCATAATAGCTAATAAAGGCTACTTGGAGCAGTGGCCCTTTCTGTCAGAGTCAGAAACCTGGGCCTAAACGGAGACTGGAGATCTAAATGAGATCTTGAGTGTCTGCTCTTGTGGTCTTAGGGGTTGGTGATATGACTGAGGAAGGGAAGGGGAGGGTAGGCAAACACTGTACTGATGGTGAGATTTGAAGAAAGAGGAAGGTAGTGGAGTTTTCTGCCTGTTGAAATCCGTCAATGTGATGCCACTCTCTAGGGAGATTTCTCTTACTTTTTGACCCTCATTACTCCCCAACAATCAGGAGTGATCTCTTCCTCCATAATTCACTTCCTCATAGTACTTTGTCCTAAACTCTCCTTTGCACTTATTACCTGTGGTCTTGTGTTATAGTATTTGTATTGTGTATAGTTATTTGTATTAGGGGAAATAAGACCCTACTAGATTGTAAACTACTTTAGAGTAGGGACTGTGTCATTTTTCTTTGCACCTCCCCTGCTCCCTCGAGGGCCTAGCACAGCTTTTTGCTAGCACCTCCACCCATCCTTACCCCAATTACCTTGTATTTACTTTAATCTTTTTTCTTTTGATCTTGTCAAGCTTTGGGGTTTTGGTTTGTTTTGTTTTGTTTAACCCCAAGTTGATGGTATTAAAGAGAAGAAGGCATGCATTCATTTCTTGAGAGGCTAAAAGAACTGGGGAAATTTTGGGTTTCCCAGTCATGCCAGGGAGTGTTCTAACTGAACTCGAATCTACTCAGGCTGGGGGTGGGATGGTGGGGGTGGCTTCTAAAAATTTTTTTTAGAAGTTCTTGGAAAGTGGATCTGACCTTTTTGTACAAAAATACTTAAAATAGCCTATTTTGTGGAAGCAAAGAATTATAAATGCTGGGAGTGCCCATCATATGGGCAATGGCCAAACAAATTATACAGAATATTATGGAATACTGTTGCGCTATTAGAAATGATGAAGGGACCACTATCAGAGAAACCTGGGAAGATTTTTATGAATTGATTCAGAGTGAGTTAAGCAGAACCAGGAGAACAATTTATACATTACAAAAATATTGTAAAGACAAATAACTTCGAAGACTTGGGAACTCTGATCGGTGTAATGTTGTTTAGTCATTTTTCAGTTGCGTCGGACTCTTTGTGATCCTATTTGGGGTTTTTTTTTTTGGCAAAGATACTAGAGTGATTTGCTATTTCCTTCTCCAGGCCATTTTACAGAAGAGGAAACTAAATCAGACAGGATTAAGTGACTTTGCCCAGGATCACACACAGCTAGTAAATGTCTGAGTCCAGATTTGAACTCAGGAAGAGGAGTTTTCCCTACTCCAAGCATGACGCTTTAACCACTGTGCCACCTAGCTTCGAGATCAGTGTAATGGCTGATCACAATTCCAGAAAACAGATGATAGAAAGACTGTCTGCTCCTGAGAATGGGGTGATGGACTTGGTGTAGATTGAGACATATATTTTTAGACAAGTCCAATGTTTTTCTAGACATGTACATATTTGTACATGTTTGGGTTTTTGTTTTGTTTTGTTTTGTTTCCTCAAGTAGAGGGGGAAAGGAATGCAAAAGGGAGAGAAAATGAATCTTTGAAAATAAGAATTTAACTAAACAAAAAAGAAAATAGGTCTGGGATTCAGCTGGTTTCTACTGTTTTCTAACTGCTCCAGGACCATTTCTTTTACAATGAGTCCTTTGAGGAGATATAACTCAGCCTAAGTAGAAAGAATCTGAGGGTGTACAATATACCTGTCTCCTTGCTCCTATATCTGAATGTCTGTGATGAAAACAAAACAAAACAAAAACCTAGTCAACCTGAATGTTGGGCAATAACTGTAATGGAAGAGATTTAGGCTGGAGTTGTATATTGTGGCATGGTAGATAGAGAGTGGGCCTGGAGTCAGGAAGACCTGAGTTCAAATTTGACCTCAGACACTAGCTGTGTGATTGTGGGCCAATCACTTAACCCTGCTTGTCTCAGTTTCCCCATCTGTAAAAAGGGTTGGAGAAGAAAATTGCAAACTATTCCAGTATCTTTGCCAAGAAAACCCTGCATGGGGTCATGAAGAGTTAGACATGGCTAAAAAATGACTGAACAATAACAAAAGTGTCAAACATTATTTTCACTACATCACCTTGCTTCTCATACAATGGGGGAAACTCTCTCCCACTTTGTCAACACAATGGACACCTCAGAGGAACCTCCATCATCATTCCAGAGGGTGTAGACTTTCCCCTGTTCTCCTCCCCTCCCATCTCTCATGTTATAACCAGGCCCAAGAATCCAATTATGTCACCCGGAGTAAAGGTGATCCAAAGTTATAGTTTATGGAGGAGAATGATGTGGACTAGGAGGAGGCTGGTTGCTCTGCATTGTGGTTTCTTTCTAATTTGGGGTCCTCAGTTTCCCAAGGCCAGAGTCTGGGCCTTAGGTTGGCTCTCCAAGGCCTACTCCTATCTCTGTCTAGTGTGGGGTGTCACCAAGGCCTTCCTAAAGAGGCTAATGTTACCCTCCGCTCTTGCTCTCTCTGCAGGTGAGGAGTCCATCAGCACTTTAGGCCTGATCCTAGGAGTGGGGCTATCACTGCTGTTAGTGTCCATTCTTGGCTACAGTCTGGCCAAGTGGTACCAACACGGATACTGCTGGGAGGGTGAGTACATGCCAGCATCCTGGGAGCTCTGCCTAGTCCCTTGGGGCTCACAACCATCACAGCTGGGGTAGAGTAAGGGCGTGGGCTGGTTAAAGCAGCATGAGCTCTGTTCCTACCTGAGCGGAACATAAAAATATTTCCTGTGGTTGAAGTGGTTGGAGATTTTGTCAGGCAGCTGACTGTTTGAAATGTGTGTCTGTATTTGTGTGTGGTGTGTGTGTGGTGTGTGTGTGTGTGTGTGTGTGTGTGTGTATTTACAGAGGGATAAGGGAGGGCAATGAAAGAGGGTTCTTGCTGTGCCTTAGAAACATGCAATCTTCTGTTGTTCTTGCCAACCAATTGTGCAAAAAAGTAGGGGTGAAAACAGATGGCCTGCAGAACCTTTCATAGACTCGAAGGCAAAGGTCACTGTAGGCTGTACTCTATCACTACCATCCTCCCAATCAGCTAGGTCTCTGGGCCCCCTCCTTGGCTGGCCAGCTCTTACAGATTCACTGGGAGTTTACTGAGGTTCTTTGACAGGGCTCCCAACTACTATGTACATTCATTTCTGGATACCCTGAGGACTGAAGCAGTTAGTTGAGTGCTTCTGGAATACATGGGAACCAAAGAAGTGGGTTAAACCCTTCCCCCCGTTTTTTAAGATTGTAATGGATTTAGCTGATAAATCTGAGCCTTCCCCACTTTAAGATGAGTGTTTTATATTCATGACAGTCATGACCTACAAAGTAGAAAAGTTTCAGTGACTTAATAAGCCTTTTACTCTCTGGGTGTCCTGTCCCTGTGAAGACGGCTAACTCAAGGACAATGAAAAATATCCCACAGGATACAGATGAGGTCCAAAGAACCTGGAACATATCTGCAACACAGCCTGAAATAAATTCCTCCTAGGACCTCAGTTTTTCCCCAAGATCCAACATGTAAACTAAGATTATCCCAGTAGGTACATGCTTCCCTATGGATAGCACTAATTCTCTTCTTTCTGTCTCTTTGTCTTTCTAGGGCCCAACTTTGTGTTTAACCTGTATCAGATCCGGTGAGTAGGCCTGGGGTTACCTGAGGACTTCATCTCTGAACAAGCCCTACTGTCAGGGACATTGCCAGCCAGGCCAGTGTAATCGCAGGCTCATGGGATCAAAGATTTGATGCTGGAAGGTATCTTGGAGGTTACATAGACCTTCCCACTCATCTTAGAATGAAGAAATTTAGATCCAGAGAGTCTAAGTGACTCATCCTAGGATCTGAACCCAAGTTCTCTGACTCCAAATTCACTCTGTGGACCATACTGTCTGGCATCACTCTGTCCTGCCAATGGGAAAGAGCGCTCATGTTTTCCTCTTCCCTGACTACTGTCTCCTTTTTCTGCTCCTTTATAACTTTAAGGTGGTCAATTTTTTTTATTCCAAAGTAGAGCTAGATAGTCATAGAATCATAGGATGTTAGAACCTAAACAGATCTTATTTTAGCAATCATTATAGCTCAATACTTCAGAATATCCCATTAATAAAAACTAGAATACAAACATACCTATGGCAGGTTCTGAGCACTCTAGGATCTCAGATAATCAGAAATACTCTTCTGTTAGGGCTCTCCTGAGGTCAATAGCTTCTCTGGGCCATTATTGCCCCATCTGTAAAATGGGGGTGAGGTGGGGTTGATGGCCTGACTAAGGTTTCTTCTGGTATAAATCTATGATCTTAAGATCCATCCTCCCCGCCTTCTTTCCCTTACCATGATGGATTGAAGTTGCTGTCTTGAAAGAAGATCTATCAGCCAATAGCAGTATTAATCAAGCAAGACCCCTGGGGATGCATACCCCCTGGTGTGAAATCTTCACTCTTCCACATTCCATCCTCTGCCCCCAACCCAGTGAGAGAAGATTCTTGCTGTCCAGACTTTCTCCCAATTGTGTAACCTAACTGGCAGGGAACCCAAAGAAAGTCTGGATTCCTGTGAAAGCCTTCTTCCCACCTAAGTTCTGCTCCTACCCTTATTAACAGAATCTTTAGTGGAAAGAGCACTGGATTTGGGGTCAAAGGACCTGGTTTCCAAACCCCAAATGCTTTGATACTTCTTAGGTGTGTGACTGAGCAAATCACCCTCTCCAGGACTTATTTTCCTCATTTTAAAAAAATGAGATGTTTGTATTAGAGGATCTCTAAGTGCATTTAACTCTAGGTCCTATGAATCTATGAATTTATGACAATATGTGTCTCTTGTTCCTCAGCAACCTGAAATCCGGGGAGCTGGAGCTGGGTCCTCCCTTCACTATCAGTGGCCACCTCAGCCACACCGAAGGTGGCTATAAGCACTTCTATGACAGACCAGTCTGACGCAGGGGGAATTCCCCCCTCTCCTCCCCCCCCGGTTCAGGGACGCGTGAGAGGTGAGTGGGGACCCACCTTCTGATAGCAATGCATTTAACTTTCAAGCTCAATGTGTGTGCATGCGTGCATCTGTCTGTGTGTATATGTACGCTCGCATTGTCTCAGGACAAGGTGTCCTTTTGTTTTTCACTTGGTTTCTTCCAGCATTGGCCTGTTTGGTCTCCAGTGGGCTCATACCTCCTCCTTTTATCCTTGGAGAAATAAATCTCTAATTCTACTCAGATAGAAGATTGCAGAGCAGAGTTTCTGTCTTTGCTCCATGCAAAAGAACCGTTTCTTCCAAGGGGCATCATTTTAGGGCAGCAGTTCTCAGACTTGATAAGCCAAGTGACACTTCTTTGGCTCCCTACATTCAAACCTTCTGCTTTTATTTATTCAATGATGAAAACACCTAACTTCACAGTTTTTCCCACTCTACTTCTCCCTTTGTCTACCTTTGCTTAGTTCTCCCAGCTTCTCTTTATGTCTGCTCCTCTCCAGTTCCCCCAGCCCCTCTCCATCTACTCCTTGTCAAGTTTCTCAACTTCTCTTCATTTTCTCCTCCCCAGCCTCTCTCCATCTTCTCTTCCCCAATATCTCCAGTCTCTTTTCCACCTACACCTCCCCAGTCTACCTAGCTTTTCTCCATTCTCTCCTTTCAATGCCTCTCATAATTTACTCCTATTCTGTCTTGGACCCTCTTTCTGCCTCTCCTTCTCTCTCTCATAGGGAGGGAAGAGCAGAAGGGAGGGTTAATGAGGGAAGAATGCTAAGAACAGAGCTGTGCTCTTCAAAGTCTGACTTCCTACCTAATCTCTTCCATCTTGATCCTCTAGGAAGAAGCTCATGTCTTGCTACTGTCCTTGTTTGGGGTTCGCCTCTCTCCTCAGCCCTCCAGCTCCCTATGGCTATAGGGGAATGGCCCTGGTGCTCCTCACTGGGGGATATGAGAAGTCAATCCTCTCTGGATCAGCTTGAAGGAGGAGTTGGGTCTTCTGACAGTGTGATGTTGCTAGAGCTAAAGAGAAGACATCTGCCCCTAGAGAGAATGGGTACCCCATGGAAGAACTGAGGATCTGCAGTGATTCTTTTGGTGAATTCAGCCCACCTTTGAGTCAATAAACTCTAGCTTGACGTGTGGCATTACCCATTAGATCTCTGTCCTTTGTTTTTTCCTTGGTATCTCCTGCTTGACCTTCTTTCTTCTCATAAGAAAGGAGAGAAGGAGATACACAGCCACAGAGGATATAAAGAGATAGAAACTCCACCCAAGACATCATTTGACTTACTCCTCCCCAGCCTGAGAAATCAACAATGCCTTTGATAAGAGAGAATCCAGCTCCGGTCTTTGGCCTCCCTGGCAGGAGACAATGTGGTCCTGGATTTGGAGTTGAAGAACTTTAGCTTAAATCCTGCCATTTATGACTTGTGTGACCTTGGGCAAGTAACTTAATGCCTCTGGGCCTCAATTTCCCCATCTATAAAATGAAAGGGTTAGACTAGACTAAAAGGTGTCTTCCATCTCTATACCTATAAACCTTTTATGGTGAGAGGACTTCACTGGATCTTTCATCTACTCTGCCTATATCCTCTTAGGGACACATTCAGAGGCAGCTGGGTGGTACAGTAGATGGAGTGCTAGCCCTGGACTCAAGAAGACCTGAATTCAAATCTGGTCTCAGACACTTAATAGCTGTGTGACCTTGAGGCAAGTCCTTTAACCTCAGTCTGCCTCAATCTTATCTGTAAAATGGGGATAATAGTAGCACCTACCTCCCAGGTAGTGAGAATCAAATAAGATAATAATTGTAAAGTTCTTAGCCCAGTGCCTGACAAATAGTAGGTGCTTAATAAATGTTTAATCCACTCCATTCCAGTTGGCAGCTGGGAGGGCTCTATTCTCTGTACTGATGACTGGTTACCTCAGGGAAACCATGCTACCTATTAGTAGGTGGCTTTATGAGTTTCTGTGATAAAATTAAAAAAATAAATTCATCTTGTGGTAACCAGGCTTCTGGTGATAAACTTCCACAAACTTAACTAGGCTGCTTTTCCATCACCAGGCCCAGCTCCAAGCCTTTGTACCAGACAGGACAGTCGTCACCTGACAGTCCTCTAGGACCCAGGATCACTGCTGTACCACCATGACATATCAGATGTCAGTGGAGTTGTTGACATTTCTGTCCAAATCCAACTCCTAATTATCTGTAGTAACATAGATAGCTCATAACAAAGGCTAGTTTAAAACAATCTTTTCTTTGATTTTGAGGGGTTACAGATCAAATTCTCTAAGGATATTTTATATTCCCTAGGTACTCACTGCTACTGACAAAGTGGATAGAACACTGAGCTTGGATTCAGGAAGACCTGGGTTCTGACCCTGCCCCAGACACTTACTACTTGTGTGACTCTGGGCAAGTAATTTAGCCTCTCTGGGCCTTGGTGTTCTCATCTGTAAAATGGGGGTGTTGAACTAAATGGCCTCTAGGATCTCTTGAATTTCTAAATCTATGATCCTGTGATGATTATGCTGCGTGGTGGAAGAGGAATACATATTCTACAAAGTACATAATTCACACATGAATAATCCACAATTGAATGTAGGTCAACTATTTGTACAAAAATATTTATAGCAGCTCTTTTTGTGATGGCAAAGAGTTGGAAATTAAGGGGATATCCATCTATTGAGGAATGGTTAAACAAGTTGTGGTACATGATGATCATGGAATATTATTGTGCTATAAGAAATGACAAGCAGGGTGATTTCAGAAAAGCCTGGAAACACTTACATGAACTGATGCAAAGTAAAATGAGCAAAACCAGGAGAACAGTGTACACAGTGATGTCAATATTGTATATGATCAATTGTGAATGCTTAGCTATTCTCAGTAATACATTGCTCCAAGACAATGAAGGACTTAGGAAAAAATGCTATCAACCTCCAGAGAAAGAACTGATGGAGTCTGATGTACAGATTGAAGCATACTTTTTTTTAAACTTTATTTTTCTTGTTTTTTTTTTTTTTGGTCTGTGTTCTCTTTTGCAGCATGACTAATATGGAAATCTGTTTTGCATGACTGCACATGTATAATCTATATCAAATTGCTTGCCCTCTCAAGGAATGGTAAGAAGGAGGAAGAGATTTTGGAACTCAAAAGTTTAAAAAACAAATATTAAAATTGTTTTTACATGTAATTGGAAAAAATATAAACATTTTCAAAAAAAGATAGATTAATAGACAAGAGGCAAATTTGATTTGTGGGTGTTCCTCCTCTCTGTCCTTCAGGCCCTCACCTCATCTTCTGCTCTCATGAGGGCAGATGAAGGTCCACCAGGAATGGAGGATACAGATCCCTGTTGCCTGTCCAATTGTCTGAAGCAATGTGAAAAAGTAATTTTCCTGAAGTGCAGATCTGAGCTCCCCCCCTTCAATAAATTATAGTGGCTTCCTATTACCTCCAGGATCAACTATAAAATCCTCTGTGTGCCTTTTGGCCCTATCCTTTCTTTCTAGTTGTAGGTTTTACTCCCCTCTATGTGCTTTACAATCCAGGGACACATTGGCCTTCTTACTGTTCCTTGCAAATAATGCTCCATCTCCTGTGTCCATGGCTGTTCCCCTTGCCTGGAATGCTCTCCCTACTTAACTCTGCCTCTTGGCTTCCCTAACTTCTTTTGCAGGAGGCCTTTCCCAGCTTCCCCCACTATTAGCACCTTCTCATTGACATCGTCTTCTATTTAAATTGTGTATGTCTTTTATCTACAATTGTTTTCATGTTGCCTCCCCCATCAGAATGTGAGCTCCTTGAGTCCAGGAACCATGCCTTTCTTGGTATCTCCAGAGCTGAGCATAGAGCTGGGGCTAGAGGAAGTGCTTAATAAATACTTGTTGACTGATTAACTGAAATTTTGAAGCTAGAATCTATTCCCTACTAGCCATGATTATCCCCAATACCAGAATCTGGAAATAGTTACTAAGCTCAGAAACTGAAGGAGCTGTAGAGGAGGAAGGACCAGACTCAAGAATGAGGGATACAAATGGGAATTTATTATTATTATTATGACTCTTACTCTCCCCAATTTTTAAAATATTTTTTGATCTGAATAGCACTTTTCTCAATAGTTCTATCAGTCCTTACACCATGAATTGGATCAAGAAGACTCTGGCCTCAGGCAGCTAGATGACGCAGTGGGTGGAGCACTGACTCTGGATTCAGGAAGACCTGAGTTCAAATATGGCCTCAGACCCTTGACATTTACTAGTTGTGTGACCCTGGGCAAGTCACTTCACCCCATTGCCTCACCACAAAAAAAAAAAAAAGACCCTGGCCTCAAGGTCTTGGGGGTAGAGGGGCAGTGGGTGCAGAATTTTCTTCAGTACAGTCAAGTTATTCTGCCTGGACACAGTGAGTATTTAATATTGAACTAAACCTCTGGATTCTGGATTCTCCATTACAGACTTACCTCCCTTGGCCATGGATAAGGAGTCGGGTCTGGAGTAGGGAAGGATAGGAGCTTCTTGTCTCCTCCCTTCCACTGGGGAAGTTAAATGGTTGAAGAGGGTGGGATGGGTGACATTTGTGCCTTCAGTTTCAGTTCATTAGGCCTGGCTTCTGTCTTTTGAATTTTTGACCCTAGTGAAACTCTCTAAAGTGCCCCAGGTTTTTTTCCTGAGTTGGGTTTGGATGCTATGGTCCACCATCATGGCCGGGGCCATCCTGGCTCGCAGATTCTCTGGCTACTTGAAAAGGGTGAGGTGGAGGACTGTTGCACAGTTTCATTTGGGCTCCCTCCTAGGTTTCAAGGCCTAAGGAAAGGGACCCAGAAGGGCTTAGTTAGCACTGGGAAAAATGGAGAGTATTTCCCCTTAATGGAGGCGGAGAGGAACTGAAACCAGGATCACTTCCTCTTCTTAAGGCCTTGCTGACAGCCTCCCCATTTCTCTTCCTTACTCCTTTCCCCTTTCCCCAGGAGTGTCTTTCTCTCCTATACCTTTGGCTTAGCATGTCAGAGAACCATTTCCTCTATGCTTATGGAACCTGTGGCTAAGTGGCCCCCAGCCCATGACCTTCGGCATGGACTCCAAAGCACTCAGGATTCAATACTTAGCATTTGGCATTAAATCGGTAAATGATTCTTCCAGAGTCAAAGATACAGGCCCTCCATTACCTGCTCTGTTTTCTATCTGGGTCCTAACTCCTTTTTTTTTTTTTCCTACAAAAAGTTTCCTGGTTTTTTTGGAGGAAACAGGGCAAGTAGTAAAACTGCCAGCTGCTCTTACAGGTCTCTTCTACCCCTCAAATTTCAAGATTCTATAGGGCCAAAAAATGAGCTGTATAAACATTGAGAGCTATAGAAGCTCGGGAAGGAGGAGAGGTCCTTGTTGGTTGGGGAGATTGGCCTTGGCTGTGATTGGTTTTGGCTGGGCCTTTCTGGAAAAGTGCCTGGCTGATGTCAGGAGGGGCAATAGAGCCCAGATGAGCCTCACCTACTCCTGAAGTTATCAGTTAGCCAAGGGAGACCTTACTATTCATCCAGGCCCATCTTCTCATCATCCCTCGAACAAACCATCCTCATTCCTCTGTGTCTTTGTTCATGATGTCCCCTCTCTCTTCTCACCCATTTTCTCCTTACCCCAGCCTGGAATATGATCTCTCCTTTCTTTTTATCTAACTCCTCTTTAAGGTATTTCAAGGCCAAGGTCAAGTCTCACCTCCTTCACAAAGCCTCACTCATCCACCAAGACCCTTAAGGATCTCTCCTTCCTCCCCCTGGCCTTCTATACTTCTTAATGTCTGTGCCGATCACTTTTGGCATTTAATTATGGAATTGTGAAATTTCAGAGCTCAAAAGGACCTAGGAGACAACCTGTTATTTTTCCTGAGTTCATGCCCTATCTCCCTAAATAAACTGGAAACTTCCGGTAGGTGTGGACCCTGTGTTACATTTCTTTTGTATCTCCCAGAAACCAAAATGGTGTCTGCTCAAAAATACTCACTGCATCATGTGAAACTGGCATCCTGGGCTACTCAAAACTATGTTGTCAGGAGCAGCGAGGTGGCACAGTGGATAGAGCACCAGCCCTGGAATCAGAAAGATCTGAATTCAAATCTGTCTCAGATATTTGACACTTACT